GTCGTTGACCCCCACTTCAGCTGGATCGCCAACTTTCTCTTGCAACGACAATTTGTGGTCAGAGTCCAGAGTTTCTAGCCTGGTCTCATACCAGTCGAGTCCGGTGTGCCCCATGGCTCAGTTCGATGTTCACCATTGCTTTTGGTATTTCTCAATGACCTTAACCGGAAAATTGCTTCGAATTTTCAGTTTGTTTACGATATCAAGATATGGCGCCGGATTCAGGCGGATGCCAATCAGAGTTTCCCTCAGTGTGACCTAGAGTTGGTACATAGCTGATCATCCAGAAACCGGCCAGAATTTACCAGCAACAAAGGCAATGGACTCTCCATCCGAAACCAGAGTACCTATTCCTACAAGCTAGCAACGCAAGCACCGCAACGATCATCCGTCGAACTCGACCTTGGAGTGCTAGTACAAGGTAACTTGGGTTGTTCCAAGCAATACGCAGACATTGAAAACTGGTAGCCAGCACATTGGCTTGTTGTGACGGGCTTTTGGGCAACTGGACACCACTATTTTCAGGTAGATGCTTAATGTGTATGTTCACCGCCATGTCGAGTACGCAATCCAAGCCTCGCAATTATGGCTGAAGCACCACCTTACCTGCACTGGACCAACCTCAAATTTGGGCTTCTAAATACGTCATTGGAATGCGCCACCTGCCATACGAGCAAAAGCTGAAACACTTGGGAGTATTCAACAGGCAGTATGGTCGATTATTTGACGACTTGATTATAACGTATTTGATTTTGCACAATCCAAATCATGTGTGTTGCGCTTTACTGCAACTCAGCAGTAATATCAAACTTAGAAGCCACATGTTGCAAGTAGTGGAACTGTACAGCAGTCTGACTTGCCATAGAAATTGCTTTTCCATTGGTGTGTGTCAAACATGGAACGCTCTCTTCGAGTTGGTTGTTTCTGCATCTATGCTAGGCATATTTAAAAGTCGGTTGGATGACACACTCTGCCGCTTACATTTTGTTATTTGACGCCGCTCTCCATCCTACTCCGGGGAAATACCTTGGATGTATATTTTTGACTATTGAGGCTATGGAGACACTCGGAGTGCAGAGTTGCTGCATCACGTACGAAAAGTCCATTCTTTTGGCAGTAGAACTACGAAACTGTATCTTTACATTGACGTTTTTCGATAACCCACCAGATTACCTAATGGGGCTTACAAAGCAGCGCTTTTAACCTGAAAACGTTGATGTTAACCAGTTTGTAAATCACCTTGCTAGCGCTAGACAAGTTTCCTAGTTATCCGGCGTAGCGATAGTTTGCTACGCGACGCACCAAGGCATTGATTATGTCACTTCGACTAGGGACGAAACGTTTGCAACCAAATTGCCAAGCACAGCGAGCACTTCGTCTAATCGCTGAATTCGTAAACTAAGTGCGTATCATCGTTGGGAATCATGTTAACGCTTTCTCCTGTGAAATATTATATATGACGCAAGTAAAGTTGATATTACTAGTTCAACATTGCCGTAGCGTTGTGTATGTGCGATCTGAACAGCAAGTAATTTACAGTGTATTAACCAGTTTCAGAGATTGGTATTGGTAGAAATTCATCACATCTAGGATCAGTCGCCCAGCTATCAGAGGCCCGAAAAAGCACTGTACGGTCGTTTCTTTCCTTCGGAAGACATCAGAGTGCGCATTCCACCTGGCACTTGTAAGCCCCGAACCCGCAACTCTACTGTTGCTAAGTTTTGGTCGAGGCCACAGAGCTACGGGAAATGGTAACGACCACCGGGACTATGTTACTAGATGTGATATAACGCCTCTCTCTATCCACTGACTTGCAAGTTACTGCCGTGCAGAGGACAAGGAAACCCCTCATCAAGCGACAAACAGTAAACAATAGCCGCCAATTAACATACGGTATTATAAACAATAATTTAGTCACGACGGTCGTTGCCGTCCCCCTTGAGTCCGTGGTCTCAACCACAAACTGGCTACAGTAGTGTTGCGGGTTGGAACCTTACAACGGTCAGATGGAATGCGCAATACTGCTGCTTCCCGAAAGAAGTAAAAGGCGTACAATGATTTTCCGGGAGCGTGTTGGCTGTCTGAGTCTAGCTATAATGAATTTCTAACGATACCATTCAACTCAATCACTAGTCTTTTGTAATTTCAGAGCAACCCCAGTATCATTCTGGGAATCACCATAAGAGAAGCTTGAAAATGTGCCTACTTAAAACCACGCGATATGATAACTGGGATAAAATTGAACCGTCTTGGACCATCCTGCTTCCTACTTGCCAAATCCAAACAAAGCATGCTAATTCTTTACTATATCATTGCTAAAGCGACTGCATATTTAACGCATTCACCTGCATCCATAGCACAGCAGCTTGCATCCTTAGTGCCAAAACCATGATCCGTTGGTCTCGAAATTTGCGTCCACGTTGCACTAAGTGGTCAATCGCTATCAGCCAATAACATTCGGACCATATGCCGACTTGACTGTTTAACAAAGACGCAGCTTGGACCTATAGCCATTATGCTTTGGGGGAAGGGGGTAGCAAATATTGGCAACACTTAAGCTGTAACCATGCAACTAGTAGACAAACGCATGTTCAAACACATATAGGTGGCGACTGATGTCTTTGTACTCGGACCTCAGTCATCTGCTCATCTGGGTGCGCTCCAGCAGTTGTCAAGTATGAGGGTGGAAGCAGGAGCTTACTCACCAACTGGCTCCAAACCCCAAAGTTTGGGAGTGAAGGTAAAATGAGGTCAGCACTGTTCCGGACGAATGCGGACGCAGCGTTGAACATATCCGGAAGATGGGGTCAGGTCCCCCGCCTTTCGTGCGACCACTGTGAATGTAGTCAAATTTTGGTCATCCGTGCCTCACATATCCCCTCACCTTAAGCGAACATTTCGTTAGCCCGCGCAAGCTTCATTCACAACGGGATCGATCAAGGCAAGAGGCTTGACCCCGCGTTCCTGACATGTTCCCCGCTACGTCTGCATTTGTCTTGAACTGTGCTGATCTTTTTTTACCTGCACTCCCAGGTTTTGGGATTTAGAGCCAAATCGTGAGTAGGCCCCGCTTCCATCCCCTTCTTGCGCAATGCTGCTGCGCACCAGGACGCGCAGGTGGCTGAGGTCCGTGTACCAAGACATCATGAGCCAACTGTTGGTGGTTGATCATACGTGCGTCTACTAGTTGCTTGGGTACAGCTTAAGTAGTGCCAATATTTGCTACCCCCTTCCCCCAAAGCGCGGTGGTTATAGACCCCAGCTGCGTCTATGTTAAACAGTCATGTCGGCATATGGTCCGAATGCTATTGGCTGATAGCGATTGACCACTTAGGGGGTCGTTGGTGCAAACTTCGTGACTAACGGATTATAGTTTTTGCGCTAAGGATGCAAACTGCTGCATTGCGGATGCAAGCGAATGCGTTAAAGGTGCAACCGACTGAGCAATGACATAGTAAAATTAGGTTAACTAGTGCTTTGTACGCCCGTATGGGAGCAGCTTCAGATGCGTAACGAAACAACTGTGTGGTGCTCTTTGGGGTGTGTAGAGGACTATCTGCTTTGGAAGCTGCTGCGGATAAAACATTAGTTACTCATCCAAAAGTCTTCTACTCATATATATAACAGCATAATCACTTAGATTTTCATATTATCGTTGTGTTTGCTCGGTATCAAGGACTTCCGTTTGTTTAGAGACATTATAGGCCCATGCAATGGTTTAGTACAACATTTCAGTACCGTTGCACCGTTTTATGCAGTAGCGATAGTGGCCAGCTCACACTAACTGGCGTAGTCTTCGACAGACTACCGGCGAGTGCGGTTCCCATTTATTGAAGAGAAGAAACTGAACAGAGGGGACATAATTACATGGCGCATTCAATCGTCCCGTGTATTGGTACAAAGGATAACACCGAACGACGCGAAGGTATCAAAAGTAGGATGTGAGGTACCGCGCGGCAAGGCGGCGTGCTGAATCCAACCGTGACGCCGTGTGCATGAATCGGGTGTGTTGATTCAGACAACCAAATTCAGCAAATAATTCAACCTTCTGCAAACAAACTTTAAGTGCACACTATGATCGTAATAGTATTTAGCACCTAAGATCAGCAGACTTAAAGAGGCTAGTTACGTTCGACCACCAGTGCCTTCGTAGTTTGATTCACATCTGATGGGAACACCTACTGAGCAACGTGTATGTTCGACGCCTTGTTCATGGCACAGGAAAAGGAACTGAACCCCACAACACCGTCATTTCACGCACCGGACTCCGATGACTCTGTCACGTGTTGCTCATGATAGCCCATCGACTTTCGCGACTGCGTTGTTTGTGCGTCGGTGATGTGGAGAGAAGAAGAAGAGAGGTAGCAAAGCAATGACTTGGTAGAGAGGAATGAGGGCCCTCACTTCGAAACTGGCCTCGGTTGGAGCTTCACGGCTCCATGATTGGGAACCAAAAGACGGTGACCACGTTTGGCTCGCTACACTTGTTGACATGGCTAGGAGCCGACCTCAGTGGCGCTCGTGCTGTGCTTATTTTGCCCTTCCCCATCCCTTTTAGCCTCCCCCTCTAACCACGATCTCATTCCGTTGCATACTATAATGTTACCTCATAATTTTTTCTTGTTGCCCAGTAGCCGGCTGGTAGTTTTGCGGAACCATGTCCATCGGTCTCTGGTAGCGCAGTTAGCATACAACTGTTTTATTTACTTTCTTTTTTCTTTTATGTATTGCGGCACAGTAGCTGCAGTTTTCTCCACCTCTAGCTAACGTGTATAATGAGGATGACGGTTTAGCATTTTACACAAGCTACTCAGGTCATTCGGGGGAATCCCCAGGCTGCTACAATGCGTAGTCATTGCACCCGCTATAGAGATGACATACACGAAGCTTGAAACGTGATAACCACGAGCGTGCTTTTCCACCGACTGCAAACTCTTCTCAATAAATGCATAGCTTGTCTTACTACCTCTAGTTGGTGTTTGTTTGTCCTTTTCTGTTAGCTCACAAACCAGGCGTTCAGCAGCGAACTGAAAGTTGTGATTATGCATTGAAAATGCAAGAAGGTTCTATACTCTGTCTGACCGATGAGTATGTGGCTGGTTTGGCAAGTGAGGATTACGCACAAGTAATGAAAAATATCAGGTACGTTTTCGGATAACTTACGCGCTGCTTTAGTGTGCTAACTGACCGCATAACCTTTGAAAACGAATTCTTCGAAGCACGTATAATGAAAATGAAAGCCGAACCAGATTTGGAACCAGGTGAGCACAAGCGACGAGTGCGCAACTGATCTGCGTAGCTGGTTTATCTTCCGGAATGTCTGTGTGTCTCACAATACGCGTTAGACGCTTAAGTAACAGCATTCTATATCCTGAGCGACACATCAGATTGAGTGGAGAACACAAGTGTCAGTTGGCTCGGGATGCACTGGAAGACACGGCAAAAGACATAACATTTGCGAAAAAAGACTTTACATCCATTATTACTGATCTCAAGGTAGGCTTCGTATAAACATCCATTCACCTAGTTGCACAAATCAGATAACCCAAGAAGATTTGAAAATTACGCTTGGCCAAATCAAACGATTTCGAAAGTATTTGCAAACCCAAGTTGTTTCGGTGTTGGATAACCCACATAGGAAGTTAGAAGCACGCGATGCGTTCATGCGTTATCATAAAAGAATTCTAAAAGATTTGGTAAGTCCCACAGGCAGTTCATTAAGTAGATCAATCCGTTTTTATTTTTTGTTTAAGAATATACTCTTTCTTACCGAACTACGAAAATTCCTCAGTTTTTATTTTAAATATGAAAATAAGAACTTGCCGTTTGCTCTACTGTAGTCCCGCAATCCGCTTAGATTCACAGCACCTGCAATTAAATTCAAATAAATACATGATAAAGTACAGGTGTAGAATGGAGACATAAGGCTGTGTCAAAGTGTGTGTGGATGAGTGCGTCATCCGTGTGTCTTATAAATACTGTTAAGGTCGGTGCAGATACGGCCGATTCTGGGAGAGTATTCCACGGGTAACAGACACGAATGCAAAAGCAATTGCTGCGGCTCTCCAGACGGCTGTACTTGAGTGGACCCTCAGGGTTTTATTGGTGCTGAGTCGCAGTAAAGAGCGGCGCACATGATGTAGGTCTTGCAGAATCAATTGTGCCATAATCAGGTCCCTTTGCAATCTGCGATAGCTTCCACTGAATAACCGCAATCGTTTCAGCCTCTCCTGGTATGAAAGAGTGCGCATTCCAAGCACGTTCTTAGATGCCCGACTTTGTTGCTACTGCCGCGCATTAAGATCATGTTTCAGCCCTGGATGCCCGGCTTGAGTTGCGTATTCCGCATGGTCTAACATACGCACTGAGTTTTGTCGAAATATGGAGCAGTTTATTTGTCCAAACGCGTCACAATAGCCCGACGTGTTTGTTTTGCAGTCTTAGAGGTCTTCTCGGATTGTCTGGAACTATCCAAGTCCTCTTGAACCAGGACCCCCACATCATATCCGACAGTTGGTTGTTGCGGTACTTTTGTTCCGAACCGCTATGAGTAGCTGCCCTGATGTCGGATGGAAAGTACCTTGCATTTACTTAGGTTGAACTGCAGTAAATTTTAAGTTCATCATTAATTTACTGTATATAGGCCATTCTGACTAGATGCAGGTCGGCGTTCGCCTGGATCCTGCGTCAGATCTTGATATCAGCGGCAAACATTAGGAAGTGTGAAGCGCTTCCCTGTGCGAAGTCATTAATAAACACCAAAAACAAACGTAAACTTAGTTCTGAGCTTTGCGGCACACCATACTCGACTTGTATGAGATCCAATAAAGAGTTCCAAACTCTGACAACTAAGTGCCGTTGAAGTAGAAGTTGGCAATCCATAGTAAAATAGAGACGCCGATCCCGTAATGCTGGAGCTTGCAGAGTAGTATCCGATGGTCTGGACACTTGAAAGCCGAAACTTCTACCTAGATCACATCAACGCCTTATCCAGAGTCAGCTGACTCGATCCAACTATTGCGTACGATTAGTAAATTCAGTGTGTATGTCCGCTGTCGACGGAAGCCATGCTGCTCAGGCGTGATGACGTTACAGTTTTCCAGGTTGCTCACCAAGGCATCGGCAACTATGGATTCCATGAGTTTGGAAAGTATAGGAAGAAGGGATACTGGGCGCTAGTTGAATGGATCAGTTCTGCTTTTAGCCTTGTGAATCGGGGTTATTATTCCAAGCTTCCAAATAGCAGGAAGTTGCTTCTGGTCCTTGCAGTGACTCTGGACGAATGGTAACAACACCCGGCAAACTGTGTTAGCGTAGAGACGTCAGCTTTTGCAATACAACCTTCGCAGTAAAAGTGATGTGGGTTAGTCCTGGCGGAGAGACTACAAAGGTTGGAAGATCGTTTGGTGGCAAGACCCTCTGAAACGTGAGGGCATATTGCATCCGCAGCGTGTTTGCTGCTTCCACAGCCGTTCTTGTTAGGCCATCAGCCGTCACGAGTGGAGGAAATCCTCGCCTCGCCTTTCGTATGCTATTGATTTGCTTGTACAACAGTTTGTGGTTAACACTGAAAGTTTTTGCAATGTTGTGCTGATAGGCGGCTTTGTCTTCTCTTAGCAGTTGGGTGCAGTCGTTACGTTGGTCTCCGGTGTTGGCCCAAGTTTCTGGTGCTGGAGCATCTCTGCACACTCACCATGTTTCGTTGCGTACTGCCATCCATTTTCGAGTTCTGCTCCTAACGAAAAAACTGATGTACACTTTTTACTAACTCTTATTTCTGAAACCTCTGAAACCAGCTGACTTAATTTGTTGACGAACTCGAGCCTGGTGACTTCCGAGGCTTCTTCGGCAAGGAACATACAAGTAGTAGCACTGACAAGCTGGGCTAATCGATCGTAGCTTGTGATAGTTCGCACAGTCTCATCGTTCTCATTCCGATATTCCGCACAGCAGACGAAGTTAAAACTGATCATTGCATGATCACTGAGACCCAAAGAACAGTCTAAAACTAACACATCATATACTCCACATTGGTAAGCACTAGACCCAGCACAGATGACCTGTTACCTGTTCTGAACCGAGTGCGCAAAGTGATATGATTGTAGAGAGAAATAGTGGTTACGAGAGCTTGTACATCAGCATTGAATTGTTCACCGAACCTGACAGGGGTTTCTAAACAATGTACTTTGAAAACAACCATGATAGATAGGTGAGCGTACTTTCGCTGTAAACGGCATCTTAAAGCAGCCGCAAGGGGATAGCAGGTTTCGGAGGTAGAATTAGAGGACGGTACACCAAGACAATAAGGCAAATGTCCCTGCCTTTTAACTACGAGCGGCACCAAAGAAAGTCAGAGAACTGCGTGTCTTAATCCTTCACGGCTTCGCAATGGAAGTCACTTCAGAAACCTATACAGCTTCGCATTTTAACTGGCTTCGGTAATACAGGATTCCCCTCTTCCTTTTGTGAGCCTATCGTTCCGGATCAGCGACATGCCCGGTAGCACAACTTCAGCGTCCGTCATTCCCGTGTGCAACCACGTCTGGGTGATACCAATGACATCCTGTTACCCGGAAGCTTGACGATCCTTCAGTTCGGCCGGTCTATTAAAAGACCCTGAGCATTTGTACACAAGTAGGTCAATTTCGCGGTCTCTAGGAGCCCACAGAGGGGTATAGGGATCAAGTGTGAGAGGATGTTGACTGATGGTAGGTAGGCAGCACCTCGTTATTCTGGCTATTATAATACCTAGTCTGAAACTTGATTAGACGAAGGTGAGTCCCAATCTTCGTTTAGACCTACTTCAGGCTCAAAGAAAGCAGCTGCCAACTTAAGCCCTTTTATCGTTGTCAGTTAGTTTGCTGCTTCACGTGCTTTGATATTAGAACTTTTCGAAGCTCCTGCGACCTTTAACCGAAGATCAAAAGGAAGGCTTTTCATATTTCTGCGCATCAATCCAAAACATCCGTTGCTTGTTGCTCTGACTGAACCACAACTTTAGAATACTATGGCCGCATCCTCTATAACTTGTTGGGAGAAGTATCCTGGTGAGGGATAGCGCCACAATATTATCCAAAAAAGTGTTTCACGAATGAACCACCACTGTTCCAAATCGTGCTTTCCGGTCTCTTGAACATTATTACAAGGCTGTTCTGCAACACTATGTATGAAGATTGTGTTTATGTGATCTTGCTTGTTGTGTCTCACTTCGGTGTGTCTTTTTGCTTATCGCTCGCTTGAAGGGACACCAGGATAGATGCGCATCCCACAGGATCCGTGTCTTAGCGCGCTTGCGGAGAGCAACACGCATATTTTTTCGTCGGTGAAGGATTCCAGTGTTACTCAAAAAAGTCTCTGTTCTCCATAGTATGGCGAGTTAGGATGCCGAGTAATTCGTAGTAGGGTTACGGGTTTGGCTTTGACACTCATCAGTAAGCATAATGATTTCCATTGGTCTTGCTCGTCGGATAAGTTACCCTGCAATGTGATGGCGGTTGGCTTGGGAACATTTGAGCATACAACACTCCGGGCACTATGTTGGATCCATTTTTGGTTGATCTACATGGTAGGGTAATCGTTTGTCCTGACCTGCTGACAAGTGTTAATTGTTTACTCTTTGTCCCTCTATTCGCGTTAAAGGTGTTTACAACAGAAGAGGCCGCAATGGCAGCCGCCGGTGGACCTTTGCAGTAAGCTCTGCATACGTAACTGATATTCCGGGGGAGATTTTCTTGACAAGAGACCTTTGAGCTACAGGTGTCGAGAGTTGCTGTTCGGCTGCTTTATCCTTGTTATTACTAGATGTCAGGTCTAGTGGAATGTGTTTAACCGGACGTTTCGAGTGAGGCCTGACTTTTGTTGCAATGAGTACTGTTTAGCTCTTGCATCTACGGTCAGTTTTCGCCCAGCGTTCTATCAAAGTTGGAGAAAACAACAGAGATGGGGACGTAGCTGATTGCTGTTCAGGGGAAGTAGATTGTGCATAATTCCGTTGCTTAGAAGCCGCTATGGTTCTGTGGTGCATACTGTCTTCCTTTAAAGTAATCTTATCGTTTATCCTCTGCTCGGCTTCTGTGGTTAACCGGTCGCACCACAGAACTAGGATAAGCATGCATCTAACTGATGGGATGGTCGAGCACGCAGTACAGAACCAAAGCGCATATTGTGAGCTAGTTCGCTCTCGTTCCGGTTGTTAGGACACGTTTGCCCATTCAAAGGATACCATTCCAAACAGTGCGAGCAAGATAAGCCTATTTTAACTAGTCGATGACATTCTCCTAACCCGCAAATGCCTTTTGTTTGGAGCCTTTTCGGATTAGGATTTCCGCCATTCAACGTCGTGTTGTTACCTGACCCAGTAGGTTGGTTGGCGTTCAGTACTTTTCCAGCTTTGAGCGCGACACATCTGTCAGGCAAATGTTGTGGATGCGAAGTGAAATGAGCGGTCGGAGTCGTCGCGCGGTCCGTGTGATGGGTTATGCAGGCCCACTGGCTGACAAGGTTACAAAGAATGACGAGTGACTGAAACCGGCTAACAGAATCGGAACTCTGGGCTGAACACAGACTAAGCGATCACGAATTCTTTCATAGATGCGTTGAGAAACACCGGATTGGAATGGGTTTAGGCTTTTCGGACTGCCTCGAGTATGCTGTATCGAATGGTGTAACACAGAAAGACAGTCGGCTCACTGTGATT